CCATCATTGTCCACTCAGCAAACAAACACACACACACACACACACACACACACACACACACACACACACACACACACACATACACACACACACACACACGCACACACACACACACACACACACACACACACACACACACACACACACACACACACACACACACACACACACACACGCACACACACACGTTCAACAGGCTAACCTAGAAAAGGCAGTTTGACTGGCTGTTTAGTGGACAGTGACAAAGGTTCAACTTCTTGTCCACCTAAAATTATCAGCTGTTAAATATTTTGGGGAAAAAAGATAAAGGTATAAAAAACAGACTGATAGTAACAATCATCACACATTAAACTGAGAAAATGTCAAATTAAAACATGTTTGAATCTTTTAGTACCTAAATATTCAATGTGTACAACCCTCTCAAATAAACGTAGACTCAGTACTTACCCATAAGGCCTTTGGATGAACGCAGGGTGAATTTGGGGAACACCAAAGGTAAAACCTGCAAAACAGAGAAAATACAATTAAAAAAGTAAAGACGACAGCATTGATCTCTTGAATAATTGATTTAAAAAACATTGTCATAACATTGATTGCAAGTACCGTAAAAACAAACAACCCTGAGGAGGAACTCAAAAAGGACTGACTTGATTTGATAGTTTGCCTATAAAACCAACGTCTGATCCCTAATAAAATATATGTTCAACAAAGACATGCTGATTAAATGTCGGATTTACTGATCGGGAATATATGATATTTAGAGACTACATCTGCACGTCTGACTGCACATTTTTGAAGAAAGACACCCCCATTCCTGTGGCTTTTGAGGATGTTTCTTTTGTGTTTTATTGCTCCTCATTTGTCTGTCCTTACCTTGCTGCATCACCCGAGGCTTGGCCCCCAGGTAGGCCAGGTTGACGTTGGCCTTCCTGCCGTCAATGATGGGGTTGGGGTCCTTACAGGCCCGGTCTGCAGCCGAGCGGTCCGCCATCGTCACCTGACGGAGCAGTCAAAAACACAGAGCATGAGAAAGATGAGGAGAATTCAAAGCTGTGTGTAATTTGCTTCATTTTCCTACTGATTGAGCATGTATAAAAGCTATAACAACATCTCTTTGTGTGTGCATGCCTTTCTGTGTATTTCTCTGGTCATTATTAACAGTAGCAAGTATTTGGCAGCACACACTTCCCTGTACTTCATATGTATGTGTTAAAACTATCAACAGTGTAAAGGAGCCAGGATGGTGGACTGACTGAACATGGCTGCTCTCATTACAGACTCTATTGCTCTGCTCACAGCCCCAATAACCGGCATCTGGATTTTAATTATTTTTATCATGTTTTCATTGTAAAGCACTGTTTTTGAAAGCTGCTCTGCTAATACGGTATAAACATGGTAATGCGACAACAATAAAGAGGAAATGTGGGGAAAGTTGGAGATAATACATCTCAGTTGAAGATAGTAGGTTAGTTTCTTAAATACATATGTGTGCATATCAAGGGTGACTGTGCAACTTGGTACATCCTCTTGAATATGAGCCAAACTTCAAATAGATTACTTCATAGTCTTTAAAGAGGCCAAATAAGGTGTAGGGTATCTCCTGGCAGCCTTTAACATATATGTTTTAGCATCTGTTAAACATAAATGTATACATGAATGAACTAAAAAATAGGTATTTTGAAACACTGCCTGAGTTAGCAGACAGTCACTTAACATTGCGTCTGAATGTGTTTTGTCTATCGGTTTTTATAACAAGGGGGGAGTCAAATATTTTAGTTTTAAACAGATTTGAGATGATGAAACAGTGTCACGTGTCAGAAAACTTAAAAGCATCATCATGAGGTTTTTCCTCAGCCCACCAGAGCTGTCAGTGTGGGAGCAGCTCACATTAAAAACGTGCCAGGGCGCATATATGGCGCAACAAGTCGGTGGTGCAAGATTGCAACTGACGACTTTAGGCACTGTTATCACAAGTTAAACACCCCATGACTGCAGATAAGATAATGTTAGTCATTTTGTTGTGACAGACAGAGACAGCCGCGCACTTAAGATGCGTAAAGTCAGGACTTTTCCCACATGCGTAAAACTTTTTTTGTGTTCAGTTCAGTTTAAAAAGCGATATACTTGTTGTTAAAAAGAGTGATACTTACGAATCCATATCCCCTGGACTTGCCGGTCTGCCGGTCCGTTATGACCACCGCTTCTTCAATCTCACCAAACACCTCAAAATATTTCCTGAGACTTGTATCCGTGGTGTGGTAGGGTAGACCCCCGACAAAAATCTTTGTGTAGGTCGTGTCCTTTTGCGTGGAGTGCATCGTTAGTGCAAATACAATAAATATTAGCAATATAAAAAAAGAAAAGTGCAATGTCTCCTTATCAGTTTGGATGAAGAGAGAGAAAAGAGAGAACAGCAGGCTCTGTTACTTTTTTTCAGAAGAGAAAACACAACACAAATGAAGCCTAGAGGTAGATGTATCTTCCGACAGTTAAGAGGAGAGTTATATGGAGCGGATTGTCCCACAGAGACCATCAGGTGTTTCCAGCTCTTCTTGGTAACTCTGCTGTCTAACTAAATAGGTTTGGGACCCATTCCTAAAAGCGCTGCTGCTAACTCCACCCAGCTCTCTGTCCATCTCTGCCCGCCCACAAGCGCGCAAACAGCTGGGAAACCTGCACAGCGTGAAACACTGGAGCTCCTTCACAAAAAAAGAGATCCCCCTACTAGAATCACGTTTAATTAACCATCAGGGGCAAACAAAACCTGATTCCACTGATAATATGTTGGGGACAAAGAGTAGCAGGGGCTTAAAAAAAACTCATTGTTTAAAAAAGGGATTATTTGTGCGATTTGCACTGTCACTATTTGTTGATTTGGGGTTTTTACGGGGTAAAACGTAAAACCAGACTTGCACTTTTCCTTAGAAAAGTTCTGTCTTGATTTTCAATAGACTTGCATGGATTAGCCCCCCTGAAAAAACAGCTGGTTAGGGTCTTGACACAGCTCAGGGACAGACACAGCAGCAAAAGCAGACAGACAGGTGCAGTTTAAGCACTTGTGGGGGGTGGACAGAGTTTTGCCAAGTGTATGTGCCAATGCAGACAGAAATAAGGCATAGATTGTGAAAAGTGTGACCTGAGTTTGAAAAGTGATATCAAACTTCTCTCAAGTGTTGTTTTTAATAGTTCCTTAACGATTTGGTCATAAAGTAATGAGCCTAACCCTTCAACAGGTTTGAATGTCCATATCATATAACTTAAAACAAAGATCTAACAAATGAGGTCCCTATCAATATATATTTTGGGTAATGAAACCGTTGTGCTGAATTAAGCCTCATATCATCTTTTTTTTTTAAAACAAGGTGATCCCAATTTAATAGTTTAATCAAGTGAGACCTGTCTTCCAAACTGACAGATGCATCGTGCGTCATATGATTACGCACAACTGTATCACAATGGTAAAGGATCAAGTCAGAGATCTATGCAAAAGTCTCTGAACATCAATAATTAACATAACTTGTGAAGCATGGCCTCGGCTGGCTGCTGGATGGATCTTTGGTTAATTCAGCCCCAGTAATGTGAGAGGGAAGCCTGCTGTCTGTAAATCATTCATGGCGGCTCCGCTTCTGTGAGCATATATCCTGCCTACATGTAACACTGTGAGTTGACACATTTGGGAACATTGTTGAGTGTCATCAATGTTCTTGTTTAAAAAAAATGTGTTCAATCCTGTACTGCTATTTAAAAAAAGTCACATGACTCAAGCCAATTTAAAATGGCAGGTAGAGACTGATGGGTATTTGTGTTAGTTTGTAAATACATGCTTTAATAAGGCCATACCCATGTGTGATTATAATAAAAACTTCAATATATATTTGTTCTTAAAGAAAAAAGTTTGACTGTCACAAAGTGGAGATTGCAGGACAGGTAGTCCACTTCAAAAAGGAACGCAACCTGATAGATGTTCTTTCTGCGGTGTCTCTGTTCAACCACTATTTTATTCATGCAGGCACACGCGCTTTAAAGTCCGAGTGGAGTCGTGATAAAAGGGGGACCAGTGTCGAGTTTCCCAGGCTTAACAATGGGGATCCGGTCAGGTTGCGTCCAATTGTTGTTTTCTGTTCATGTGCAGCATGCTGACTAGTCGGAATCCTCCTATACCTTCACAATAACAGGCTGTGGGCCCACTGGAAGGGATCATTAGTCCGAGCAACAAGAAAGTCTGATTGAAGGACCCTATTGAAATTGCAGGAATTGTTTTTTTCTATAATAATATTATCATTCAGAAACCACTTTCAGTTTCCAGGGCCTACATATATTCACAAATGCAGTATTTCTTGGCACAAAATTCAAACTGTAAAATGTACGTGAACTACTGTAGGTCTTGCGCGTGGGCGTGTCAAAATAGCTCAACAGCGCCACCTAGATTACAGACCCCATATGTACGATTGTTCTACATGTGGGTATTGGGAGATGACAATTAGAGCCAGACCATAAACTCATCAGGAAGTGGGCCGATTTTGAAGTATACCCTGACCTAAATACTTAGATAACTATCTGTTTTTAATTTATCAAGAGAAAGGCTGCTGAAATTGTAACTTAATGCTTGTTATCCATTTGGCTGCAGCTAACACCTGTGAGGCAGAGTAAAGCATAAGGTCAAATGTCACTTAAACTCGGACACACTAAGGTCGTACAGGGGAATACCTATAGACTTGTACTTGTATACCACATTTTACTCAAATTATTTTGTATTATATTTCATATTATTTTAATGTTTTGATTAAACTATAACTGCCTCTGCAAATAAACAAAAAAAGTGTTTTAAATTAAACTGTTGGCCTATTCAACACCCTTCATCCTCTCAGAAAATAATCATCATAAAGTTAAAAATAAATTAGTGTCAACATTTTTAGGGATTTACATATTCATAAACAACACATAGTAGGAACATTTATATTATATAGACATATTTATTAATTAATAAAACATTCCCTTTACCCATTTTACTTCACATGTGGTCAAACCTATGTTATTGATAAGCTGCAAACTGACTCCAGGCAGCTGTGAGACAACTTCAACTGAAACAGTGCCCTCCTGTGTCCAACAGAACAAGTACACCCTTCACATGGAAAATTAGACTTAACAATATGATACTTTACAACGAAATGTAAAACTAAAATATCCTTTGAATAAATGCTGTATGTTGGCAAGACGTTTTGGTCATATTTACTAAAGCCTTTAAAGGTCCAACGCACTTTCTGCAGTTCAGTGCTTTTACATTCACATTAGCTCGTCAATAGAGCCTATCACAGCTTAATCACATATTCACTTCTTCTAATACAATATATACCCTATATATTTTTTTCATTACAACCTTTCGGCTATGCAAAAGGAATTATTTTGGCTTCCTCTCCTCTGTCTTTTATATCTCTCAGTGCTGATTCTTGGCACATTTTTTGTGATAAATTAAAATATCTCGTCTTTGTCATCTACTAGTTGAAAGCTAGAATCGCTCTCCAGCTCCCCCGAGGCTGTGAGGAGGAGCTGATCCTTCTTCAGCTCCTCCACCTGGGTAAACTCCTCCTCCTCCCAATCACCACTGACCCCTCGGTTATTTCCCCTCTCTCCCCCCTTCTCTCTCTTCCCCTCTTTCTTGTCTGCTCTACTTATTTCTTCTCTGCCGTCACCTGCATCCTCTCTCACCCACTCTCCACCCTCGGCCGCCTCTCGTGTGATCTGGCTGTGAGGCTGTGGAGCGAGAGGTTCAGGGGTGAGAGATGGGTGTAGCGGCTCCACAGGGGTGAGTGCTGCGTCCTCTTCATCCTCTGTGATGAAGGTGTGAGCAGGACCCCGGACACGGGCCGACTTGGACCTCAAACGAGTCTTGAGCTCGTCTTCTCTTAACTGAGAGAAAGAGGAAGTAGATTAGAGTGTGGGAGACAAAACAATAGGATCAACTCTCCATTTATCAGAGAGAGATAAAGATACATGATGACACACACACACACACACACACGCACACACACACACACTCACTCACACACACACTCACACTCACACACACACACACACACACACACACACACACACACACACACACACACACACACACACACACACACACACACACACACACACACACACACACACACACACACACACACACACACACACACACACACACACACACACTGTACCTTGCGTCTTTCCTCAGCAAGTCTTATTTTCTCCTCAATCCCTTCTTTGCTGGGGAGGTGTTGCTCCTTCTTGGCCCTCAGAGACTCCAGTCTGGCAGGTGGCCTCCGCATGACCCCTTCCCTGTCCTCAAGCTGGTATACACCCAGGAGATGGACACAGAGAGCAGACAATCACAATAAAGAAACTGAATGTCCCCGAAAACTGACTGACCTCACCTCCCTAGGATTATTGTTATATTAGTAACAGCAAGGCCTTTGCTGCTTTGACAAGTCAAAATGCATGTATTGAAAGAGAGCTACCATATACACTATATATTATGGGCTTTTCTATTTATATTAGTAAAACACTGACAGGGAACATGTTACTGCTGAATAAATACTTTGAGTACATTGTGCCCAAATTATTAATGTACTTTTAATTAAGTAATGCTTTAAAAGCAGGACTAATACTTATAAGAGCACAGTGTGGTTTTAGTATATTTACCACTGCCTCTCAGTGATGTGTAATAGCCTGTTTGAGCAGTGTTAGCAGGAACCCACCATGATGCTGTAGGCCTCCCCCGCCCCGCTGCCCCTCTCTCCGCTCTGGCCTCCCTCCGGTATGATGCCTTGGTGCAGCAGCTCCTTCAGGATCTCACTGGACTTTGCGCGCTCCTGCTGCAGTAAGACTGGGAGACGACACAACACAAAACTGTAATGTTGTATGCCCTGAATTCTCTTTTTGACGTGACCCAGTGTGTTTTATTCAGCTGTCCCACCATGTTGTGTTATTACGTCCACAATGCTTTCTCTGACACACTGAGATGTTAGAGGAGGGAGTTTTCTGGGCACGGCTCCAGGTAACAGAGGGATGTCTCTGTTCTCCATCACCACCCCGCTGTCCGTCGTGCCCTTCGACACGGCCGAGTCCCCACGAACATCCACTTTACTTCTTGTCACATCCTGAAAGCACAGACACGCAGTATCAACCCATGAATACATTTTTTATACCCTGCCCCCCCCACTGTGTGGTATCACAGACATGATGTTGTCATGGTGGCGTCTGTGTGTTGACACATTGTCATGAGCACAGTAGCTCAGGAGCATTAAAGTTTAAAATGAGTTCACAGTAACAGTGTATTCTGTGACTTTAACAACGCTATATGTAGTAAATAACCAATATAATATATAATGACATTTATGAACATTTAAATTGGCTGAATAACAAGCTACGTTTTTAATCTTTAAGTATTTTTGCTTGGTATATTGCTGTAGTTTTAAGTGGCTTTTTAAGGGAACATAATTGTTCAAATGTTACCAGGAACTCAATACATTGTCATTTTTAGGCTGGTGAGTGAGTCAAATTGAGCAGAGACTTTCATACTTTACAAGCCAAAACATTGACATCTTAAATAGAAGACTTTTAAAATTGTAACATAGCATTTTTACACCATGGTATTGCTAGTTTAAGTAAAATATCTGAGTATTCTTTCCACCACTGCTCAGTAGTAGATGTACCAGATGGGGAAAAAGATCTGTTACAATTTGAAGTCCTGCAATAAAAATGTTACCTCTACCTAGTAGATAAGTAATGGCATCTAATCCAATCCAATCCACTTTATTTCTATAGCACATATTAAATACAGAGGGTTTACCAAAGTGCTTCACAGCAAACATAACATTATAATAAAATATAATATTACAATAATAGATAAAAGGCACACATAAGAATTAATACAAGGTACACAAAGGCTATGGACAGACAATAAAAGCATAAAAATCGATAAAACATAGCTCAAACTGACTCGAAAGCGAGGGAAAAGAGGTGGGTCTTTAGGCGGGACTTAAAAGTTTGGAGGGTGGGCGACAATTTGACATGGGGGGGCAAGTCGTTCCAGAGCCTGGGCGCTACCGCTGAGAAGGCTCGGTCTCCACTGGTCTTTTTCTTGGTTTTAGGGACTACTAGCAGCCAGCAGCTGATCAGCCGACCTCAAAGCCCTTGAGAGGGTGTACACCTTTAGGAGGTCGGAGATGTACTGAGGGGCCAGGCCATTAAGCAATACAATCTTAAAATGAACTCTAAAATGGACAGGAAGCCAGTGGAGGCAAGCCAGAATTGGTGTGATGTGCTCATGCTTGCGTGTTCCTGGAAGCAGCCGAGCCGAAGCGTTTTGTACCAGCTGCAGGCGTGCCAGCGAGGTCTTGTTTAGGCCGGCATAAAGTGCATAGAAACAAAGGCATGAATTACACGCTCAAAGTCTAAAAAGGATAACACCGGTTTAATTTTGGACAGGAGCCTCAGGTGAAATATATTTAAGCACCAAGAGTTATGCAGATTGGCCCATTTCAGAATAATGAATATGTTAATACGTTTTGATTATAATTATTGATGCATTAAGATGTTTATCAGAGCTGGTAAAGGTGATTTTACTCCAGGTCTCACTGAAGTCTTATTTAAGGATTGACTATGATATATTTTGTATCATTAATCCAGATCTGCAAATAAACTTAAGGTATTAAATGAATGTTTTGGAGTAAAAGTACACTATTTACCTCTGAAGTAGTGGGGTAGAACCTCAAAATTAAAGTACAGTTTGAGTAAATCTACTTAGTTACTTGTTTACACCACTGGGAGTAGAGATTAACCAGTCCGGTCAGTACCATGATTACCAACTGACAATATTTGGTCACTAAATTAAACGCCACACAGATTTCCGAGATTTCCTTTGTCCTCTAACGCCTCTTAACAATGTCTGACAAAACATATGAACTTTAGCTGACTTTTCGGATACAGTTTAAGACTTTACAGTTTTTTAAACTCCTCTCCGCAGTTTTAACTAACTTTGACTAACTAAAAATTCAAGGAAAGCGTCGGTTAGTGGGACGCAGCCTACCTTGTCTCCCTTCGCCACTTCCGCTCTCAACGGTCGCACCGCCGTTTTTGTGGAGCTGCAACATCCCATAATCACCTCAAAACAGAGATGTAAAATAAGTCCATACAAGTAATAACTATTTTAATGACACTTCGGTGTGTTTTCTCTCTGTGTATTGACCCGTGTAGCCTCGCATTCCTTCATACACACTGTCTCCATGGAAGCCGGCTCGTTGCTAAGGCCCGTTGCTACAATAAAATTAAATCTGACCCGGTTAAAGAGGTGACACCCAGGAGAAGCTGTGGGTGTCAGGGTGTCACCACTAAACACCGCCTTCACACATCTGATACTGCTGATCCTATTTATCAAATGTATTACTGTGGTGGCTTCAAGACTCCTCACAGGTCAATGTCAGCCACCAGGGCTGTATCCAGGATTTTAGAAATATTACATTTGAATCAAACTGAGTCAAAGGCAACACCTGTCATCTTTGCCCAAACTCCGCCAAAATGATTAATTCTGGTCTATGATATGCTGCAGGTTGTGTCTAGTAGGCTACTGTACTTTGATTATATGACAGCAGATAATGTGTGAACACAGAAATCTGCTGAGTCTTGTTGGCAGCATAAGAGGGCACTTATGAAGAGAGTCAGGTACAATGAGAGAGGTCTTACAATTGCAAATAGAATATAGAACAGTTAAATTAGAGTTAGTACATGTGAACATGTCAACAGCACGTTAAGAGAAACCACTGGTTATGTAATTTTTGTAAATAAAAAGGTTTTGTGGAGATAGAGCGATCCATATTTGTTTAAGATTTGTCTCTATTGTATGTGATGTTTCTGTAATTTAAAAGCAAATAAAGACACATTCTTAAAAAACCCTGAACATCTACATGTTGTTGGTTATCATTTCAATTTGTCCTTGTTTTTTCATTTCCATCTGAGCATGAAGTGGGCTGGTGAGATACTGAATCATTTCTTTATTTGAGCCATTTACTAAAAGGTTTAAAAAATATTATTACATTGAGTCAAAAGCTACTGGAACTGCCCTGGTGTCAACTGGTTTTATGTTATTTGATTAAAAAAGTCCTATATAAATAACCATGATGCTCTTTCTTGCATCCTTCTCCTAAATAAAGCTTTACATTATTTGGTTTCTGCACTAAATCCACTGTCTTCTTGTTTTGGAAAATGCACCAAAAGCACAATATCACCTGAAATCATTGGGGCCTCAAGGTGACGCACATATTGATTCTAAACAAGTCAAAGTATTACCGCTTAGGTTTTTATTTCTTTTTGTAAGACCACATGGTAAAAAGACCACAGAGGTGCAGGTCCAGGCTCTACTGGAGGTAAGAGAGCGCGCTGAAGCGGTCCGGGCTGAACCTGGGCTTGTTGGCCAGGATCACAGAGGTGTCGAGCGCAGGAAGGAAACTCTGGTGCAGTTTCTGGCATCTCTGCTCCACCTCCATGTGGCTAACATTTTGGGCCAGTCTGTCCTCCTGAATCACCAGATGCCTGTGTGCAACCTCCAGATCCCTCCTAAAAAATAAATGAATATTAGTGCATTGAGGATATTAGAAAGAAGTATGAAGAAATATTTAAATATAGGACATGAGGGGACAGGCAACAGAGAAAGCTGGGTCTAATATTAGAAGTGAAATTGTGACTTACTGAGAGCGCCTCAGGATTGGACAAAGTCCAGCTGCCATACTTTCAAGGTCACGTTTCTCCCGTGTGAGGCTGAATAGGGGCTGGAACAGAGAGAAAGGGTTAAAGCCAAAGTAGGATTTTAAGGATATTTAAGGCTTTCTTTGCTTCTGAATGCAATCTGTAACACTTACCTGGTCCAGGCAGAGCTCACGTCTGGGTCTCTGGTGGAGGATGTCCAGGCGGTGTGTGGCCCGGTGCAGCTTTGAGTCACAATTCTGGATCTGACAGGCTACTTTGTGACGGTCCGTAGTCAGATCAGAAATCTCATCTCTTATCTGGAGATAACAGAAAGCCACACAAGAGTGAGTGAGCATTACAAAAAGCCAAGTACATTTATTCTGTGGATAGAAAATAAAGTAAGTAGACTGACCTGCTGCCTCTCCCAGATCAGAGTATCCTGGGCCCTGGTCAGGTCCTTGATCTTCTTTCTCTGAGCATCAACTGAGCAGCGGCGCTGGCGCTCTTGGGTATTTTTCAGCTTCAAGATTAAAATATAAACAATGTTTTAAGACATACAAATGCAAGATGAAGAGCAAAACATTGAATTGACTTCCTTGATGGCAAAAAAAATATTATCAGATAAAATAATAAGAAATGAGCTCATGGTGTATTGAAAGCAACTTTGAAAAAAATCTTTAAGAGAGAGTTCATATTAAGCCCTAAACTGTTGTATTCAGGTCTGTCTAAAGTTTTGAGGTCAGTTTCTTTTCTTACATTGGCCAGTGTGAAGCGCAGGTTTCCCCTGAAGGAAGACGAGTCGTTGATCAGGTTATCAGCCGTCTGCCTCAGCTCCCTGCAGTGGGACAGCCAATTGTCATAGCTCACGTAGTTTGGTTTGTAATGGGTGGCAGGGAAACTTGAGCTCAGGGCGTTGACGTCAGGGACAATGCATTTGGTGGTGAGCTTGATGGCTTCACCCTTGTCCTGAAAATCTGCCAGCAGCTGAGCGCGGATCCCCTTCAGAGAGCCCCGCTTCTCCAGCAGGAAGCAGATCTGTCTCTGGAGCGTTTCTCTAAACTCACTGGTCAGCTGCTCCTCGTTCTTCAGTTCGGAGAGGACGCGGTCCTGTCTCTGGCCCACTGAGCCCAGACTGTTGCTGATGGACACGCAGTCCCTCATGAGCTGACTGTACACCTGCTTCTCCTGGAGAATGCCCTCAGCCAAGTCTTTCATCTGGACACATGAAAGTAATGATCATTTAAAGCTCTCCTATTATACTGTTTTTCATCAATATATTATAGGTCTCAGATATATACAAAACATGTCTCTGAAGTGTTTTGCTCGAAATACCAAACAGATCATGTATTGTAGCATCCCATAATCCCCTATGTTTCAGCCCTGTTTCAAAAGTGCTGATTCTCTGTCTGTTACTTTAGATGAAAATAAGGAGCCACTCGCAAGGGATACCTTGGTTGGTGATTGGCTAATGGTTACACAAGCCAACAAATCGTTATGACATCACAATGTGGCCAACACCTGATCAGCTCATTTTCAGACAGGTTTTTATATAAATGAGTCAGGACAAAAAGTGAGAGAATCTTTTTTTCTGAAACTTTCAGAATCTCTTTACACAGAGGGGACACATGTTGATGTATAAAAGACATCAAAAAGTGAATTTTGCATGATAGGTGTCCTTTAACTCAAAGCGGAAACTGTAGTCAATGATTGAGATAGAGGGATTACTCTTAAACTCACTTTCCTTGTTTTGCAATATATATAAAAAGTCATTAGTGTGTGTACCTGCTCCACAGCAGTGATTTCTCGATCCACTCTCGCAATGCTTTCAGATATCTGGGCCCTCCACTGGCTGACCTCGGTGTGTCGAGAGCTGAGATGCCTCATTGTGCTACGAGTGGCAGATGGGATCTACAAAAAAGAATACCATTTCTCTTTCATTTAGGGTGCAATTAGGGAATAGTTCCTAACAAACTCCTCCAGGGTTCCTCTTAGCACGTGTGATACCCGCTCAAATGGTAAAATGGACATCAGGTTTTCAAACCATAATACAATATCAGGCGGATCTTCATCCAACCATTTCTGAAGTATTGTGAGGCTCGCAGCATTCAAAGCAATTCCAATGATATGTCTACGTTCATAATTTGAATCTAATCCGAGAACAAAGTTATATGATTACACATTTTAATACAATGATATCACAAACATGCCATATTTCTTATCTTACTCATTGAAAGGTATACTACTTCTCACTTTGTTAAGGATTCAATGACTTTTTCTGCTGATACATGAGATAATTAACATTAAAATATGGCAGGGGGATCAGGAAATGTTCATTACCCGTGAGATATCGTCTCCCAGGGAACAGATGGTTTCCTCGCCGAGCTTCAGCAGTCTGTTTCTCTGAAGCTGAGGTCTGTGGCTAACCAGATTTCTGTTGGAGGAGAGGACAGGCAGAGACAATCTGACCTCTGACCTCATTTGGTCCTCCTTCAGTGCACGATGGTGCCTAACAGTGTGACAAAAAGCTTACATCTTCAAAAAAAATTCTGTCAAATGTACTTAATGCTGAGAGATACTACATGACACCAATACAGTATTTTAAAACTAACAGATGTACTTACCACATTGTGTTTCTTCAAAATGTAAAAGTAAACACTGGACTGAACAAGGTCAGCTGCTGAACTCGTGCTCTCAGGTCAGGATATGGAGGTGAAGGGAATTCCGATTCAAAAGTAAGCAAACATTCGGAATGCGTTTCTATGGATACACTACTGTTTATATTTACACAAAAAATGCTAATATCTTTTTAAATCATTAAACCTATAAAACATAGACTAGCAGCTTACTTTAAAAAAAAAAAATTGCCTTTGTACATATTGTATGTTATCACTAGGACATATTTATTCAAGACTTCTAAAGACGGAAAACTGGTTTATATGAAATAAATCTGTTACTGTGTCTAAAAATCCAAAGACCTCATATATATATATAAAAATACAATTACATTTAAAAAAAATTGTTTATCCAGATTAAGGGCAAATGAAAACGATTGGGATTTCTTTTTTTATAATAACCAAAACCACATTTTATTTAAATCAGGAATTATTTATAAAAATCGCGCCACAATCTTTAATAATTCTCAGTTAACAATATTTGACAACGATAAATCAGCTGATATTTGGTCAAAATATTCCTGATTTTGATAAATGTATGGGAAGAAGAATTTTATTAATGATCTATTTAATAAGGTTGTATATTATTTACCCCAAAAGACATACCTGTTATATGGTAGTATGAGCCAGCCACCCGAACTGTGGGTCCCGAATGAAAAGATCAACAGAAAACAGGAATTATTTTTATAGTTTTATTGATGGTAATTACCCATGGTTTTAATTTTATCACTCATTCAGTAATAATCATGGCTTTAAAATTAAACTGACTTCCGTATCATCCAAAGTCACCCTCGTCCATTTAAACACGCAATAGAAAAATATATACTTAATACTTTGTACAATACTGGTTTTGGTCC